TGCTATTTCCTACATTCGGATGCGTTTTAACAGGCTGTTTAACATTTAGTTTTGCCTACATAAGTAACACTTGATTCAATAACTAATTTAGAGTTAATGGCACAACAAGAAGTAGCCTGACCAACAGCTCTCCTTGTGTGAATAGAGCATGCTCTGCTTCTCTCATGCATCCTAGCCACAGTCTAAGAAACATAGTGTAGCCTAAGTTAAATGCTGGTGAAGATTCTCAGTCATCCAGGACATGATGAATAATAAAAAAAAAAGTTCAATACAAAAACAACTGGACTTTATTTGTAACAGAAGATGTTTCGCTCCTCATCCGAGGAGCTTTCTCAATTCTCAATAGCTTAAGAATCAGAATCAGTTTATTATTGCCATGTCAATGAACGGGTTCACAAACTAGGAATTTGCTTCGACATAAGGTGCGAATAGTAATAAAGTAAAATAAAGTAAAAATAAAGTAAAAATGAAGTAAAAATGAGAACATTACATAAGACATAAGACCTGTGTACACCCACAAATAAAGTAAAATTAAAAACACAACATAAACATGTGTACACCCATACAATAGAAAACAATTAAAAAGCTTAGAAAACAATACAGATGGAGTATTCAATTATAATACAGATGTAATGTGACCAAAGCAGAAATTATGAGTATTATTATAACTTTTACGGGAAAAAAAATCACTAGTCAATATGAAACAATAACAATAATCACTCCTTGTTACCAATGGCCTAGCATAAAGCAATATGATCATCATCCATCATGTTTATTAGTAGCTTAAAATGCCTAATTAAAACTTCAGTAATGTGCTAGGTCTACTGTAACCTTACCCAGTTGTAGGGTCAAGAGACAAGCATGTAGCATTAACACAGTATGAACAACATTCAGGAATTGTTTCTATAAGAACATTATCAAATATTTTACATGAACGGTAAGATTGCTTTGCCTATGAGGAAATGTAAAGTTTGGTACAAACACCAGCATCCTCACCAACTTTTATAGGTGCACCATTGAGAGCCTGGTGACAGGCTGCATCACAGGGTGGTACATGAACTGCACAAGTCAGAGCTGGAAAGAACTACCGAGGGTGGTGCAAACAGCAGAGGGCATCACTGGTAGCAGTCTCCACACCATCCAGGACATCTACCACAGCCGATGTCTGCGTAAAGCACGCAGCATCATTAAGGACCACACCCACGCAGCACACGAACTCTTCCTTCTACTACTCTCAGGTAGACAATACAGGAGTCTGCCATCACGTACGAAAAGACTCAAAGACAGTTATTATCCATAAGCTGTCAGATTACTGAACTCTCATTAAACAACACTGAACAACTGGCAATAACTTTGCACCAAGCCACATCTGTGACAACTAATATGACTAATATTAGCTTCTGATACCTAATATTTTATTGCTAATGCATTATGTGGCTGTATCATGTATGTATCATCTTACCATCATAATTCATCTCAATGTTACTCACTACCTGTGCAATAATCTGTCACACAACCTGTGTAGTTTATGTTAGTTATGTGCAGTATACTTTGTACATCATGTGGATTTAAGCTTATACTACTACCTTGAAATACTTATTCATACAAATTCATCCTACTTGCACTGTTATATATAAAAATAAACTTGCACTGTTATATTCTACCATGTTATTTACTATTTTTTCTTTAGGACCTTGTAAATATTGTATTTACTTTTTCACTTTTAGGTACTTTATGTTGTACCCTTATTGAATGCTTTTGTATTTCTTGTAATCATTTTTTAATTTTGTTTGATCACTGGAGATAATCTCAAGGCCCACCACTGGGGGTTTTGTGACCCACAGTGGGGTCAAAAACCAAACTTTGTGATTTATTTGTGATTTATGACAAACTTTCTTGCCATAAATTATAAGAAAGGATGTCTTCATTGGATTTTGTAGTATATTATATTACAAGTCCATCATAGGGACGCCTGGACAGGTCTCCAGTCCATCACAGGGACACATAGAGAAAAACAACCATTCACTCACACCTAGTAAAAAATCCACACAACACGGAGAGAACACACAAACTCCACCTAGAAAGGTCCCTGGCCCAGATTCAAGCTGACAAACTTCTTGCTGAGAGGCAGCAGTGAGCCACCACTATATTATATTATTTCTTAAAGAAAAAAAGATTAGACCAGACATTTTAATGTGAAAATCACTTAATTTGAAAATGTGTCTTTTTCTCATATTCTTTTTTCACTCAGAAGACAAATTTAATCTCAACTGAAATAAACTCTTCCATAGGCGGCTCCAGGGGGGAGCTAGGGAGTGCTATAGCTCCCCCTGGAAAAGTCATAGCACCCCCGTAGCACCCCCAAGAAAATATCAGATTATTTTCTTTATCATCTAAATTATTATTATTTAATATGTGGCTGTTGTGATTTTTTTTTTGTTGCAAAACACAACTAATTAAAAAAAACAATTAATAATAATATTGAGTTAAACACACACACACACACACACACACACACACACACACACACATACTGTATATATGAATGATCTTACAACAGGAAATGAACCTCCGAACCAGAAGTGAAAATTCAAGTTACTGAAAGTTCGGTAAACATTTGAAAAGTGCATGAAATGCAAAAATGGATCATTTTCTATTACCCAGATTGCCTAGAATGGAATCAGGGAAGGAGGATTTTTTGGAAGCAGACTACAGCCAACAAATAAACAATAATTTGGAAGAAGGACCAAGTGTACTGCCATCCTTCCACATCTATGAATGCTGCTAGTGCTGGACAGCTGAAGGATGGAGCCAGTATGTTCAGCAACCTTTGGACAGTTCCCGGCGAGTCCTCCTCGTGGTGTATCCTGGTCTGATCCACCAGCAGAACCCCAGAAAGACGAGTGATGCCCTCAACACTGACCCAGTAAGGAGCAGAAACTGGTGACATGATGCCTTGGTCTGGTTATGCCATGTTTAGCTGATGCAACTTGGTAAATCATTTCCTGGCTTGCAGTGATAATAAATGACTTTATCTGATCACATTAAATACAGAACTACTTTCAACCAAAATCCAAAGTAAACTATTTATTAAAATAGTCAAACTTTGTCTAAATTCATTAAGAATTTAGCCTTGATTGATTCATTATTATTGTTTGTTTACTATTGTTGTTGATTCTTAGTTTGATTATTTTTGTAATAAAACTTCATAGACAACTTTGGTCTCTTCATTCGGATGAATATTCATTTGTTCTGGTATAGAACTCCCTGTAATTAACAGAATCTATTTCAGTGACTGATTCTGATTATTAAAGGGTGAAAATATTAAATAAGTTGTTGTTGGTCAGTAAACTGACCAGCTGGTGCCACACTTTAATGAATGACAAATAAATACTTTGTAAAACAAATGTAGTGGAGTTGAGATGGAAAAGGTGTCACTCTTCTTCCTCCATCTCACCCTTCATTATACAAGCTTCTACCCTGAGACTGTTGGACTCACGAATCCCTAGTCAGGATGATCACTGTGAAAATTACTGTGAAAAAAAAATCACTGTAATGCCACTTGATGTGTGCTGCTGACTATCCATGATGCTGATCTCATGCTGCTGATTACTTCATGTTGTTGTGTTCATTAGTCCTCATCTGCTCACACAGACTCATGTTCGTGCTGCTGTTGTTTGGTGCTTTGTTTTGTACTTAGTGCTTAGTATATTCTTAGTTTAGTGTATTTCTTAGTTCATGTCTTGGATATTATTCCTGTTTTTCTTTACAATTTGTATTTTTGTTGGATGTAACTGGGACCCTGTGTACATAGTTTTGTTCCACCTCATGTACCACATGTGATGCGAATGACAGTAAAGACACCTTGACCTTGAGAACTGAAAGCACAAATTATCCTTAATAGCACCCTCAGTAAAATGTTTAACCCAGTACAGTTACAGTAATAAGTGAACTAAAGTGCTGTACATCAAAGGTCATGCTCAATAATCCAGGTTAAAAAATCCAACAATGTTCAGTCCTCTGGACGGTTTCTTTCTTTTTTGTTGTAGTTGATGAAACGTTTCGTCGTTCATCCAAAGGATGAAAAAACAAACCTATGAAGTCCTTTGGATAAAGGACGAAACGTTTCAACAAAAAAATAAACCGTTCACATGACCTGACTGAACATTGTTGGATAAAGTGCTGTACAATAAAATAAAGCAGAAAAAGATGCAATGACATTCAGATTTGTATTAAACCTTTATTTAACCAGATAAAAACCCATGGAGATCACGACTTCACAAGGGTGACCTGGTCAAGAACAGGCAGCAGTACAAGTCATTAAAAAAAACAAGTAACCAGATTAGAATAAGACTTCAGAAATAAATAAATATATATATGATATGTGATATATGATATATATATATATATATCATATATATATATATATATATATATATATATATATATATATATATATAAAACATACAGTATAACAGTAAATGGCAATAATTGTAATAAATAATAATTTAAAACAATAACAATTTAAGATCTAAAACACAGCCACTGTTGACAAGGTATCCTTTGCCCGTTTTTTAAAAGTTTGCAAAAAGCACTCAAAGTAACATTTGAATGATTTTGTGTTTTAAAGGAAATTTGAAACAGATCTAAATGTGTTTTTTTTTTTTTTTTACTTATTGAAATAAGTGGCCTGCTTGAAGTTTGCTGAAGAAGCTGAAACAGAGTACATAAATCTAAAAAAGAAATATATATATATATATTTGCCAAAGCGCTTATTTGCTGCAGTTTTAAAGGCTCTATAAATAAAGTAGGATTGGAAGATGTTGATATACAAAACATCACGTAGTGTGCACGAGTTGAAAAACACACAAACAAAGAGAATGCTGAATCAGCACACATGCTGCCACCCCATGATCAGAAACAGTTCACAGGATCTGTCCGCTGGCTCTTTAAATTAAAGCCCTGCTAATGAAAAGCCGCTGTTGACCCCCCCTCCCCCCAGGTCTGTCCCGGTTCGGGGACCACAGCAGGATCCCGGATCGCCTCGGGCCGCTTGGATCCGCACAGACAGGTACTGAACTAATGTTTCTCTTGTTTTATTCCCTTGTCCTTCCACCTGCGTCCAGCCAGCAGCTAAACTGGACCGGGACCAGTTGCTGAGTCGGCCCAGCTCTCGGCTCCTTCAGCCGGGTCACCGGGCTGCTCCCCCAGCCGAAGCAGACCGGCTGCGGGTCCGAAACCATCGACAGTTTCATGAAAAGTCATATTTTCATGGTGTTCGTTGGTTTAATGCGCGCAGGGATCCAGCTGGGCGGAGCTAAGAGGCAGCAGGAACAGGTGGGCGGAGCTTGTGTGTAGGTGATAAACAGGTGATCAAATAGAACAATAAGTTAAAGTTAAATGCTTATTACCCGCCACTTTTCGAGCCAGTTTTAAACCTGTGCTGAGTTATGTTGTTTTAGAGAAAAATAAAAAAACTAATACACTTGTGATATGGGACGACACACTGGGGGGTTCTGGGGCTTTGACATTTTTGAATAAAGTAGATGCCACTTCCTGCGCTCTGGTGTGTCTTAATGGGTTTTTAAACATCTACGTTTACCTACATAAGTAAGCACTTGATCCAATAACAATTTTAGAGATCAACAAGAAGTAGCGCTAAGCCAGCGGTGCCGGCGTGCAATACAGATTTGCTAGCTAAGATGCTACAGACGTAGCACTCTGCTTTACAATAAACAACCTAATAAACACTTTGTACAACATTAGTTTAGTGTTAACTGATCATAACAAACAAAGACTGAACTTATGCAACCAGAAGTTACATACGTATATCTACATCACACCAAACAAAGTAAAACTAGCTTTAATCATTAGCCTTTAATTTAACCATTAAGTATACAATGTAATTATGACAGAAAAAGGAGGATTTACCTGAAGTTACCTTCGTTCAGATGAACATGTGGTACTTCCTGTTTATCACTGTTGTATTCAGCTGCTCATGAGGTCGGCCGCAGGGCTTTATCATCTTTTACATTTTTCCACACTCAGTTGAGGTTTTATATTCATCCTCTAAAGCAAGATATTCACTAAACTGCTCAGGGGCTGGACATCCAGCATAAAGTCATTATGCAAATAAAGCAAGTTTTACAATGACCTTTTAAATTAGTTTAAATTGTTGCATTGAATCATACATGCAATAAACAGAAACCAAAACCCAGAACTGGCAAAAAAAAAAAAAAAAAATTATATTAATAAATAAATTTATGTTATTTTTCAGGGGTGCTGAGTTAAAATTTTGGGGTGCTTGAGCAGTGAGCACCCCCAAAAAGAGGCTAAAATCACCATTGGGATTGACTCCAGACGTTATTCAGTTGCAGATGTAGATCTAATAATTATTTTCTGCAAGCATCATAAAAATATTGCTTCATGAGATATTTTGCTAACTTACAAACAGGGTTCACAGTTAGTGCTAAAGTTTTGAGTAAATATTTGTTTAAGAAGTAGCACTTGAAGTTTTTCTTCTTCTTTCGGCTGCTCCCCTCTTCAGGGGTGGCCACAGCGAACTAACTCGCACAAAGACTTGGTGATTGTTTTTACACCAGATGTGACACAACCACAGACCACTGAGCCACCACAGCCCTCTGTGTGGTGCAGAGAGCCATGGAGGGTGCCCAGGGCAGCAGATGGTGGGGGTTAAGGGCCTTGCTCAAGGGCCCAGAGTGGGGCAAATGACGGTGAAGGCAGGTGTGGATGCTTCACCTATCCCACCCACATTTTGATGTTGTCGGTCCGGGGAGTTGAACCAGTGACCTTCCGATCACAGGTCTACCTTCTTTAGCCTCTGCACCACCACACCCCAGCTATAAGTAGCACTTAGAGTATGCGTTGTAAATGATTCTCAGCTACTACCAAACCGAATTTAAACAAAATATCTGTTAAAATGACCAAAATATAAACTTTTTCTATGTTGGCTAGGTTTGATTATCACTAGTGGCCATCTTGATCTGTGCTGACTCCAAAAGCTAATCGTTTGCAGTTGTACATGCAATGATTATTCTCTGAAAGTTTGATGAAAATCCATTGATGTTTTCTTGAGATATTTTGCTAACAGACAGAGATACAGAGAAAGAGGCAAAAACAATAATGTCCACCTTTTTATATTTCATCAGCGGTCGATATTCAGTTTAAGTTGCATTCCTGTCTCATTGTCTCTGTTAATGCTTGACCTCGGTGATATCAAACCTGTTTTTCTTTATCGGCTTCATTCAGAAGAAAAATATAATTAATCCAGCGCTGACCTTTATGTTTGAAGCTGTCGCCTGAGAACAGAGTCTCACACATCGTTTAACACGGAGCGCACAGCGCTGACGGGGTTCACTGTCCCTTCCTGCTGCACCGTTAGCTCCAAGTAAACATGACCTTTGACCTGAAGGTCAGCTGGTTCTGGAAACAAAACAGATTCTGTCAGTGTGTTTGATAAAACCTTTTTGACATTTCTGATGTACAAATCAGAAACCCACTTATTTTCCTTGTGTTTTATCAGAGCTTTAAAAAAGTATTTCAGCTATTTTAGAACAGGGGTCTGTGGAAATATTATAAACAATTAAAGTTTCACTTTATTTTAAAAAAAGTGACTTTCACCTGTGAAAAACAAGTTCATTTATAAAAGGCCTAGCATTCCTTGAATGCATGTCTCCCGCCACCTTTCATGCCAGAGTTTTAGACTATCATTAAGTAGAGAAAAGCTGTCATATTGTAAAGTTTGCAGACGATACAGCGGTGGTGAGATGCATCACAAACAACGATGAATCCAGCTACAGGCATGAGGTGGAACACCTGGAGAGCTGGTGCAGGAAGAACAACCTTCACATCAATGTGAAGATGAAGGAGATGGTCGTGGACTTCAGACAGAACAAACACACCTACCTGACTGAAAAATGTTGGATTGTATACCTGGATTATTGAGCATAGACTTTGTTGTTTTCAACCAGTTTGACACGACTGTCAACAAGGAAGAGGGCCGGCAATGGAGGAGGGGGCGTGCCAAAGAGACCATCTTAGCACCAACATAACTGGTTTGTTCCACTTTGGAGTAAGCTGTTGGGGGAAGAATCAGTTTTGTTGTGTGTTTCCTTGACTGGTGAAGCCTTCTGGATGGAAGGTGAAATGTTTCAGCACAAAAAAAAGAAACTGTCCAGATGACCTGACTGAAAAATGTTGGACTCATCAGAGACTCTACTTCCTCAGACGGCTGAGACGAGCTGGTCTGGGAAGCTCAGTCCTCACCTCCTTCTACAGGTGTGCAGTGGAGAGCATCCTGTGCTCCAGCATCAGCGTGTGGAATGGATGCTGCACAGCTGCAGAAAGAAAAGCTTTGCAGAGAGTGGTGAAGGCAAGAGCTGTCATTTCTAACCCGGGCCCGAATCCCGGCCCGACCTGAATTTGGGCCGGGCCAGGCCATGATAATGTGCTGGATGGGCGGGCCGGGTCGGTGTCGGACTTTTGATTGCGTCAGTGGATCAGACGCAATCCTGTTATATGGCAACATGGCTTGCCATACATCACCAGCCATTTCTCAACGTGAGCTGACCGGCCTTATAAAATAAAATAAAGTTCAGTTAAGCTTCAGATGGGACTGTACTGCCAGGAAGTGATCCATTGCCCTTTTAATCAGCTGGGCGCATCCACCGACTGTTAATACTTATAAGCAGTCAAAACTTAATGAAAAATGTCGGGGGGGGGGGGGGGGGGGTCGGGTTCTGATCTGTAATTACTGTTAATTTGTTGAGTTGGATGGGGTTTGGAAATGATGGCTAGAGGCTGGGACAGGGTCGGGTCAGATTTTTTTTGGGCCCAAAAGCAACTCTAGTGAAGGCTGCACAGAATACCGTCAGAGTCAGCCTCCCCACCATCACAGACATCTACACCTCCAGATGCAGGAAGAGGGCCATCTGCATCATGAAGGACCCCACTCACCCAGCGCACACACTTTTTGCCCCGTTCCCCTCAGGCAGGAGGTTGAGGAGCATTAAGTGTAGAACCACTAGACTGAGGAACAGCTTCTACCCTGAAGCTGTTAGACTCATGTGTCCCTAATCAGTTTTATAAATGTGGAGAAAAAAACAAAACAACACTGTAATGCAACTTTAATTGTTGATATGTGCTGCTGATTATCCATGCTGCTGATCTCATGCTGCTGATTATTTCATGCTGCTTTATTCGTTCATTCATACTCATCCACTCACAAAGTCTCCTGTTTGTGCTGCTGTCATTCGGTGTATTGTTTTGCACTGTTCGTGTTTAGCGTATATCTTAGAAATTTTAGCGTACCATTTGACGTTCGCTCTTAGTTTATATCTTAGATCCTTATTTACTGTTTCTTTTTACACTATATATTTTTGCTATTGTTGGCTGTAACTGGGACCCTGTGTACACAATTTTGTTCCACCTCATGTACCACATGTGCTGCAAATGACAATAAAGAACCTTGACCTTGAAATAATGCAGTTACAGCAGTTTGGGTCAAATCTTGTGAATTATGTGCAATCTTGTGTGACATTGTGAGACCTTGGGAGATGTGTTAGAGTTCAGAGGAAGTACCGAGGATGACTTCCAGCTGCTGACACATACCTGTATATTTAGCTTAATATGTGACCCATCACATCAAACCAAGGATTAGATTACAAAGTGGTTTAGAGATCCAAGCTATGGGAAGCTACATTGTGTTGGTGGAAAAAATGTGTAATAATTGCATTTTTTCAAAATATGATGAGTAAATACTTTTTCCATGGGTCCCTTGAATGAAATGTCTGAGATATAATCCTTAAGAATATTTTGAAGCACTTTTCTGAGCAGTACAAACAATACACTAGGATTTTTAGCAGAAAAGTATGGGGTGCTGTTTGTAATATTACACAGTCAATAATTAACATAAATATTTTGTTTTTTTAGACTTTAATAAGAAAAAAGTAGTTTTATTTTTTCAAAGTCATCAAGTTAACCATGTTATTCATACATTTATAAATGTCATAGTTCCAAGCTAGTTATTTAATTTACAAGCTAAATATTTAG